TTTATTTTTTTATTATTATAGTATACACACACAAAAATGAGAATACCCCCTCTCAAAAAAGAATGTCTAGTGGTCCTCCCACTATGTCGTCCTACTGACACAACCACTGCCATGGCCTTCGCACCATATGCTACACTCAGGAACGGACCTAAACTACTCCTTCAGACAGTAGAACTGGACTAACCTATTGGGTGTCATGCCAAGTCAGACACATACACAATGCTTCATAACTCACTGGCCATGGATAGTTATTCCTCTGACTTTACTTGCTGAAGACTTGTTCTGGATCACCAATTTGGACTTGATGGACCCGTGTCTTTTTTCAACCTCAAATACTATGCAACCATGTGACCAATTGCAACGCGCACATTTATTTTAGGAGAGCCACCATTTCACGTAAATCTGTAGGAAGGTTCTTACTTTCCAAAACAGACCCCAAACCCACAGAGCACCGTTTCCATGCCGCGCTACTGGACCGCCTTCTCCAGTCATCTGCTCGTTCCTTTTAGCCAGTGTTGTCACCAGTGACATTTGGTGGCCATTACGAAAGTCTAAAAGGCTTGAGGATTCAATCCAGAAGTGTGACCAGAAAAATGTAAAACGAAATAGATTGCTGGAATCTCCTTAGTTTGACTATAACACAGCAATACCAGATTTCACCAGCAGATGGTGCTGCAACCGAAGGCTGGAATTCCAACTCAAGAACCAGTAACATTCAGGAGCTGTAGGCAAGTGGATACCTATGTATTACTGCGTGGAGTAATAGAAACCAGATAGGTGCCTACCACAAAACTGCAAATTCCAAGCTTCTCACCCAAACTATTTTTCCTTTGTTTCGGACCATAAATGGGAGGGCAGTTTGTCAGGTCTTGCTTACTTGTTTAGAAACCGGCTACCAACCTTCCCCACTACAATACATTGGTTCTTGGCACACAGTCCAGTAAGTGAGGCAAGAATAGGTGGAGACCTTGTAGCTATGATGCAAAGGCACCCCCAAAACTAAAAGCAATCAATGACATTTAACCCTCGCCCTTCCTCATCCCAAACAAAAACTCTAAAATGAAGAGCCCTTAAACTACCCCCCACACTTCCAAATGACCTTTACCCAAACCTAAAAGTTTAAGAATATGTAAACTTCCCTTTTTGTTCTGTAGTCACCTCCTCATGGGGTAGTCATACAAAAAGATAAACACTGAACAAACTACAGAAGCAACCCCCCCCCCAAAAAAAACTCACCTCTCTCTTTTTAAATAAGGTAGTTGGATCATTTTTTTATATTGCAAACGTAAAGCGGATCCCTTCGGAAGTATAATTCAACAAACCAGGGCTGTCCCAGTGATTTTTCAGGCACATGGAAAGAACTGAACGACGGGCACATGTCATAAAGCTGGTCGGCAGCCTACCTGCAGTACGGTGAGGTGAGTCTGCCCAGACAGCACGCTCTTCTCTGCCTCGGAGGGATAGGCATTGTGGCGATGCTCATAGAGCCAATCACGCAGGATTTTCACAGATTCTTTGGGAAGATTTCCTCTGCGCTTCCTCTTAGACCCTGGAATCTCCAATTCAACGCTGCTGTCATCCTCCCCGGCGTCGCTGTCAGTCTGGTGGATGGGATCCATCTCTTCCTTTATCACCGGGCCTAAGGCAAATATGAGAAGCATGTCAGTCAGTATACAGTGACAATTGCTTGTACACATCATACCAGACATCATTCCAACTGCCCAAAGAGGTTTTTGGCAACCTCTAGTGCTCACAAATTGATGTCGTTCACATCTAAAGAAGACCACAACTTGACACAAGAACTTTAAAAGGCGATGCACTGTGGAAAGTTCTTGAAGTCACTATAAAGTGCAGGGCTAGGTAACCGCAGCACTCCAGCTGTTGTGAAACTACATGTCCCATGAGGCATTGCAAGACTGACAACCACAGGCCCAAGGTACATATCCTAGAGAAATGCCTAAGGTAGACTCCTAGAGTCATGATGGGTGTTATAGTTTCATCACAGCTGGAGTGCCAAGGTTGCCTACCCCTGCAAAGGAACTAGGAATGTCTTGATGCCCTCAGATTTTGTCTGTGCCCATTAATTACACCATCGGACAATGTTTCCTCATTAAGGCCGGGGTCACTTCATGTCTGGAGCAGATCTGTAAACGCAGTGCATATTTTACCGTGTGTGAACATTATTATTTTTTTTTGGGGGGGGGAGCTTAAAATGGGCTTGTAAGTGCGGTCCAGTGTGTTTCCATACTTTCCAGACCAGAGAAAATGAGACAAGCTGTATTCTTTTCTGTCTGCTGGTCCAGAACAGACTGCGCTGGTGTAAACAGAGCCCAGAAATACCATAGGGATACATTTGGTCTGGGAACAAACTGATTTGGTCTGGACATGGTGTAAACAAGCCCTAAAGCAGGTCATGCACTATGCGTCCAACCATGGGGTTAAATGAAGGAAAACGGCCTAAGCAGCATGAATGGAGGAATCTACCCTGTATTCTGCTACTGTCAGACCTCCTAAACAATGACTTCAGCTAATTGTTGCCCGAACAGTGACTGCGGCCAATTCCCAGCTCTGCTAATACAACAAAAGTCAATTTAAAAGAAAAAAAAAAGACTTGCCAAATGGAGGGATGCCAGTTTTCTATCTAATTCTCCAACTCGTCAAGACCTCCAACTACCGTCCCAAGTGAAGAATCAAGCTCTACAATCTGCGGCAGTGCAGACACCTGATGCCACAAGCACTGACGGGAGTTGGAGGAGAACTCGCTGGCAATTTGGAAGCCGCACATATGGCAACTGGAGAAGTCAACAAGGATTGCAAAAACTGACGGCTGGTGCAGGAGCGTCATCTCGTCAAAATCGTGAGGTCACGAGTTGGAGATCTCGACAGTACACCGGCATGCCCCACACTACTCAATTTTTTTAGGCTGAATCAGCAGACTCGGTGGAAAAACCCAGCAGTACAAATGTCCAGCTTTAAGCCTGCTGAGCTGAAGAAGACATCATATTTTTTTTATTCCACATGTGTATGACTGTCAGTGTCCTGGAAATCCCGTGACCAGCAAACTATGGATATGGCTGGTTTTGGGTGATAAGACTGGAATCTTAATATTAGACCTGTTGCTTTCACAAAGAAATGAAGGCAGCCATTTTGAGTCCTGCATGAATAGCCCCTGGCCTCCTGTACATTCTCATGCATTAAGAGGTCAGCCTACCCTCCTGCCACCTCCTCATTACCATAGTGTTTGTCTCTCCTGGGTGGAGGGCTGTACACCTTTTGTTTCGCTGATCAGTGTGAATTAGCATTCCACTTCTCACCTATCTCCTCTCCATCCCCCTCCTTCCACTCCAAAGCTAACACACATTGTGCACGTCTAAGACTAAAGCTACAGGAATCCGACTTTTCCTGGGTATAACCTACAAATAAATGATACAGCCGTGATAGGTTTCATGTGCCCCTGAAGTCGGAGCACTGCAACAACCAATCACATTTCAGCTTTCACTATGTAATCTCAGATACGCTTACTATACAATATTTTTAAATCTGCAGCTTTCACTAAAATAACATCTGGTGATCCTGCCATCACGGTCCTTGGTCAGGCACTTCCTGTTTTAGGGTGACAACTTTGGGTCCCCCTTTGCCAATGGTGCTCCTGCATTGTAGTCTCCATTGAAAAGGTTATGTGACAAGTAGCCATTTCAATGCACATTACACAGCCATGATGGTTGTCACCATCAGGAAGCATGCACCGAGACATGCCAAGCAGCCATTACTGGAGAGCATGCAAATAGAAAGGAGGCTGCAGGAGATCAGCAGTGGTTAGATGCAACAAATATGTGACAAGTAGCTGTTTCAACATATTACACAGCCATGGTCCACTGTTATCACCATCAGGAAACACGCCCTGAAAAATGCCAAGCACTCATCACTGGAGAGCATGCAGATGGAAGGCTGCAAAGGGGCTGCAGGAGATCAGCAGTGGTTAGATGCAAAACAAATATGTGAAAAGTAGACATTTCAAAACATTGCACAGCCATGGTCCACTGTTGGCATTTATCAGGGTGTGTTTCCTGATGCTGATAACAGTGGACCATGGCTGTGTAATGTGTTGAAACGGCTACTTGTCACATCATTTGTTGCATCCAACCACTGCTGATCTCCTGCAGCCCTTTTGCAGCCACCTCCTATCTGCCCTGCTTGGCATTGATCAGGGTGGGCTTCCTGATGGTGACAAGTAACCATCACTGAAGAGCATGCAGACAGAAGGAGGCTGCAGGAGATCAGCAGCAGTTGGATGCAACACGTAGCCATTTCAACACACATTACACAGCCATGGTCCACTGTTGTCACCATCAGGAAACCCACCCTGAGAAATATCATGGAGCCATCACTGGAGAGCATGCAGACAGAAGACAGGAGATCACCAGTGGTAAGATGCAACAAATGATGGTGACAACACTAGCCCCTGCCTGCCTAAAGAACAATAAAATGGCCAGTTGCCTTCACTGGGTCCAGAGGGGCTGATTTACTAACGATAAATAGGGAAAGGAATTTTCCCTTAGCTTAATGAATGAGCTGAAGCGCTTCTGACTGGCATCATCCAATCACATGCAAGCAAAAAAACTGTGATTGTACTTTGCAAATAAAACCCATTCACCAAGCCAAGAAACAAAAAATCCCCTTGCAAAGGGAACAGCTAATTTGCTTTTATTGAATCAAGCACCAGAGCGACAACACAGGCGCACAAATGTGAGACAGGAAGAGAGCCTTGTCACCTTACAGAGACAGGAAGAGAGCCTTGTCACCTTACAGAGACAGGAAGAGAGCCTTGTCACCTTACAGAGACAGGAAGAGAGCCTTGTCACCTTACAGAGACAGGAAGACCCCCCCATGAAAATGTAGACTTAAAATACTAAAAGTAACTTTTGCAATCCTATGAACGAATTGAAGCCTCCATAAAACTTTATTCATTGACTTTAAATAAACATAAGAAAATTAGACTGCTGTTTCATTGGTTTATTGAATAATCCCACAATTCCAAAGTTTCCCTAAAAGAGATAAAGTTTACAAATAACAGACACTGAGATCAGCAAACACAAAACAAAATGAGGAGTATTTGATAACAAATGGTGTTATCTAGGCCCCTGCATCCCATCCTCCTCCTTGCACATCAAATACGTGCACAGGACATCACAGGCATGTGAACACAAGGCTCAGCCATCTACCTGCTCTATGGTGCTACCTAAACTTTGATTATTTTTTTTTCCACCAGTACAGCCTCATAGCCCTTTAAACATGACGTCATCGCCTTCCTTTTCCGCCATACACATGCAGCAGCCGGAGAACAATGACAGTTCGCAATCTCAGCTACTCATCCCCTAAAGCACACACATCACTCCCCCCCCCTGCCCAACTTTCTGGTAACCGGATAAATCGTCATCAGAAAGTAGATCGCACAGATAATAACAACAAAAAAGTAGCCCATCAAGTGATCAAACTTGCCCATGCATAATCAATCGGTCCGCTTTCACAGATGATCAAACACGTGTGCAAAGTTGGTACTGTGCAGGAGATCTGCCGATAGGAAACAAAGAGCTGGCCGCACATGGCATGCACTTATCCGACCCCCTCCGATCCCCTCCTATACTAACCGATCGCTTCTGACGTCCCGGGTGCCATTAGCAGCATGCGAGCGCAGCGCTGGAGTTACAAAGTAAAAAAAAAAAAAAAGTTGCTTCCACTGACAAGAGTGCTTCTTTGTTTCAAAGAGAAACAGGAACTTCTGTGCGTCCCCCTCCTCTTCCCCCCCTCCCTTCTCCCTCTCTCCAGCTGTCACTTCAAACTCCAGCCCTGCAATAAACTCTGTTCGAATAATGCACAGCAACCCCCCTTTTCACATCTGATCACCGATTTAGCAGATCGATCGATCAACAATCACATTGCAAACGATCAGAGATCTTTTTTGTAAAAAGTGCAACTTACATGCCAGGATGTCACTCATTTTGCTGGGCTTGCTGCCTCCGGTAGTGCCTGCTAATCAGGTGCGATGGCTCGTTTCTCAATCACTGCCGCCGTGTGACTCAAGAGCTTGCAGTCTTATGATGGTGCCAATAAGCCCAATGACAGATATACCAACTCCCTCTCCTGGTTCCTTTGACAAGGGAGGGGCACTGTTTGAATAGGGACCCCCTGATTGGCTGCTGCAGCTCTTTTTTTTTTTGGTAGGGGGGGTGTTGTACAAGACAGAGTCGGGTTTCTGTCACTTGTTGTCTTGTGAATGAAACTTCTTTTCTTATTTAATTAACTTTGCTGAAATGTATTGGACGGGTGTTGGGTGGGGGGTGCAGTGAATGCCCCTAACCCCTTTGGCTGGCTATTGTAATGGAAACGTGCTGCCTCCTTCCCTCCCTCCTTGTCTCGTGTTGTGAGGGGAGAAGGGATTCCCGCCACACACATACACTGTCTAGTCCCGGTGCTCATTCATCATCCCCCTCCTCCTTCTCCTCCTGCTTCCCCTCAGATGGCCCTGCGCTACTCTGCAGCCATATCACTGACACATATGATGGCGGGGATGTGGCTGCTGCAAAGAGCATGAGTTCTGTTGACAAGTGACATAAGCCCC